TGGGAGTCCAGCGACATAGCCATTACGCTAACTGCTGGTTCCCGAGAGAGGTTTTTACTATAAGGCACATGTGCTTGCTGGAGACACAGAGACAGACAGAAAGCGAGAAATCACCTCCCCAGGTGGTATGGCCATGCCGCAATCCCTTCTCCTCCATTCTGCTCTTGGGATCTTGGGCACGCAGGCACATGCACCTGGCGTGAGTTTAAGTCACTGGGTTTGGGACTCGAACCGCGGGCAGCTACATGGGAGTCCAGTGATGTAGCCATTGTGCCAACTGCTGGTCCCAAGATCTAGAAACATTTTTAAGAAGGAGGGAATCTTGGACCAGCCGGTGCCATAGGTTGGCTGAACCCCACATGGCTGACAGTACAGTTCAAGTCCCAGATCCATGGCTTGAAAACCATACTGGGTAGGGTGAGCAGGTGGTATAGTGGTTGACTCCCACATGGTTGACCATAGTTTGAATCTTAGACCTGGCTGCTTAAAACTCACACCCAGGGCCAGCAGGTGGCATGGTGGTTAAGGTGCTGGAATTACCACATGGCCAGCCATGGTTTGAGTCCCGGAACTGGCAGCTTGCTTTCTCCCCCCCGCCCCCGTCTTTCTCTGGCAAAAATCATGTGAAAAATAATATTAACAATAATAATAAAAATAAATCTTAAAAATAAAAATTAAAAAAATAAATTTTTAAAAACTCACACCAGGGTATGTACGTGTGTGCCCAAAATTCGGAGAGGAGAATGGAGAAGGGACTGTGGCATGACCATCCCTTCTGGGGGATGATTTCTCATTTTGTCTCTGTCTCTCCAGTAATCACACACACTCTAGCAAAAATCTCTCTCTCTCAAAAAAAAGAGTAAAACATGCTGGGCACATGTGCATTCATGCCAAAATCCTGAGAGGAGAGTGAAGGAGAGTTTGCAGAGTGCCATCCTCCTGGGGAGTGCTTTCTTACTTTGTCAATCACACATGCCCTATAGCAAAACTTTAAAAATTATAAATAAGTGTTTTTAAAAAGAGAGAAAAAAGGGAACCAGCAGTTAGCATAATGGCTATGTCGCTGAACTCCCATGAAGTCAACCGCAGTTTGAGTCCCAGACCCGGTGGCTTAAACTCACACCAGGCATGCGTGCATGAGTGGCCAGGATCCCAAAAGAATGGAGGAGAAGGGATTGCGGCGTGGCCATCCCCTCTGGGGGGTTGATTGCTCACTTTCTCTCTGTGTTTGTCTCTCCAGCAGAGCACACACGCCCTGTAGCAAAAACCTCTTCAATAAATAAATAAATAGAGAATCCTACCTCATCACATTTTTTAAGTGTAAATGCTGTCTTCTAAAGAGTTAAAAGTGGGCTAGTCCATGACATGGTGGTGAAGGCACTAGATCTCACATGGCCAACTCCATGGTTTGAGTCCTGGACCTGGTGGCCTGAAAAACATGCATGCATGCCCAAAATCCCGAGAGGAGATGAAGAGAAGGGACTGTGGCATGGCCCTGCCCCCGGGGGTGATTTCTCACTCTGCCTCCCTCTTTCTTTCTCCCTGGTGAATACACACACCCTATGGGAAAACCTTACAATGCAAAAATGAACAGTGAGCGCAGCCCCATGGCCTAGTGGTTAAGGAGCCAGATCCCATGTGTATTTAGAATCCAGCCTGGGTGGCTTAAAAAACAGGCCAGGCTATGTGCATGCATGCCCCAAATCCCAGCAGGATGGCGACGTGAAGGAAAAGGGATTGTAGCACGGTCATGCCCCACAGGGACTGCTTTCTCCCTTCCTCTGTCGTCCTCCCTCCGTCATCCCGTTTCTCTGGCAAGCACACATGCCTTCTAGCAAATTTAAAACAAGCAGGAAGCAGTTCCCTGGGGACTACATCTCAGGCTATAGAACTTCGGGTAGTCAAGTGCTTATGACGTGTATTCCAGACAGACACTGGGAGGACGACACGCGCAGCTCGCTGGCCCTGCAGTAACAATGGAGTCTCTGTTCGGATTTGGATGGTGCTGTTAATACACCATGACTCACTAAAGTCCCGCCTTCTTGGGCTGTTCTTTGCAGGGAGATGAAATGATATTCCTTTCCATGGAAGGAGAATCTGCAATCACACTTTCAAAGGTTTAAGCAAATCTAGAAGATGTAAGAAAGGGAACAGAGCTTCCTAGGTAGTACCAAATGCCCTGAACAAGTTGCCATCCACAGGAAGAAGAGCCGTGGTGGTCCTCCGTGCCAGTTATTCATCCAACCCCCAAATAAGCGGTGGCTGCCTGCCTTGCCGAGCCAGTGGTGCACAGACAAGATGCACACCCGTCTTCCCGGGCCGCCCAGTGGTGGGAAGAAGGAGGGAAGCTAAGGGTCATTTCTCACTGTCGCCACAATCGCTACAGAGGTCAAGGGTGCAGGAGAGAGTGTGAGGGTGCGCGGGTCAGGGAAAGGCTTTCCGAAGAGGGCAACACGTAAACTGAGGCAGATCATGGAGATTCAGCCTGGAGCAGAGACACGAAGACCAGCCCGGGCACGTTATTGCTTGCTGGGTAGAGAGCTGCTTGGGGTAATACAAAGTTTTGGCAGTTGGTCCTGTGGCCTGGTGGTTAAGAGAGCCAGACCCCACATAGCCAACTGTGCTATCTGAATCCCAGCCCAAGTAGCCTGAAAAACACATAGGGGCCAACCAGGTGGCATGGTAGTTAAGGTGGCTGAATCCTGTATTACTGACTGCTTGGTTCAAGTCCCGGACTTGGCAACTTGAAAAACATGCCAGGCGTGTGTGTATGTGTGCTCAAAATCCTGAGAGTGGAGAGGGAAAAGGGATTGCAGTGTGGTCATCGCCCCGGAGGGGTGCTTTCTCACTCTCTCCCCACCACCTTGTCTTCCTCTGTCAAGGGTACACATCCTATAACTGAAAACACCAGGAGTTTGTGTGTGCCCCAAACCAAACAGGATGGAGAAGGGCAGAGAAGGGCTGCATCGCGACCACCCCACTGAGACCCTCCCCCTCTCTGTTTCTGGAGAGCACGCGTGTCTTCTGGCAAATTAAAATAAGTTTTGGAAATAGCTGTCCAATATTATGAAGGTAATGCCACTGAATTGTCCATTTATTTAGTGGGTCAGCTTGTAGCACGGTGGTTAAGGCAGCTGGTACCCTCATGGTGGACTGAGCAGTTTGAACCCTGGACCTGGTGGCTTGAAAACACATCAGGCACATGTGTGCACCTGCCCGAAGTCCTGAGAGGAGAATGGAGAAGGGATTGTGGTGTGGCCATCCTCGGGGGGTTAGGGGGTGCTCTCTCTCTGTTCTCTCCAGTGAGTGCAGGTGCCCTGTAGCAAATTGAAACAAAAAAATTTATCCGGAGGGAACCAGTAGTTAGTGTAACGGCTATGTCGCTGGACTCCCACATAGTCGACCGCGGTTTGCATCCTGGACCCGGTGGCTTAAAACTCACGCCGGGCGCGTGTGCGTGCGTGCCCAAGATTCCAAGAGGAGAATGGAGAAGGGATTGTGGCATGACCATCCCCCCTGGGGGGTGATTTCTCGCCTTCTGTCTCTATGTCTCTCTGTCTGGTGAGTGCACGCACCCTACAGCGAAAATCTCTCCCAAAAAAAAAATTTTTTTTTCTTCCAGAGGACACATACACTCCCCAGAGCTGGAGAGAGAAGTGGGAAAGTAGGCCTCGAGGGGCACGGTCACACAACTCCTCCTCCATTTCTCCTAGTAGACATTGGGTGTGCACACATAAGCCTGTAAATTTTTTTTTTTTTTTGCTATAGGGCATGTGCGCTCACCAGATAGAAAGCGAAAAATCACCCCCCTAGGGGGATGGCCATGCCGCAATCCCTTCTCCTCCATTCTCCTCTTGGGATCTTGGGCACGCACACACGCCCGGCATGAGTTTTAAGCCACCGGGTCTGGGACGTGAACCACAGTCGACTACGTGGGAGTCCAGCAACATAGCCATTACGCTAACTGCTGGTTCCCCTAGATTTTGTAGTTTTCAGTGTACAAATTTGTAAAACCTCTTCCAAAACTTTTCAGTTATCAATGACTGTTGCTAAACAAATTTAACTGACACTGACTGGCATCCTATGGTTGATAAAAACTGTTAGTGTTAACACTGGGTGTGCACACACACACAGGATCCTGAGCTGGAGATCGGAGATAGAGAATGAGACCCTGTCCAGGGTGCTTTCTCCACGGCTCCCTCTTCACCTCTTGTGAATGTACAGTACCATGAGTATCAATTAGTTCCAGTGCCGTAATCTTCATCCTTTCGTCTACAAGCAACATGAATTTAAACCAGTGAGTAGACTCCCGACCATGTATGTGCAGTGCGAGAGTCAGCATGGTACTTGGGCGCTGCCTAGTTCAACCCACCTACTGGGCTGGGCAGCCATCTTTCATCGGTAGCCTGGTCACTGGATAATGAGATGCCCAGTTAAAGTACCCATTCATTTGTTATAAACTCTTCCTTACTCAAGAGGGTCATTTACATTTCAGTGAGATCATTTACACTTCAGTCCTGAATTTGTCCATTCTCTCAAATGACTTCCATTTTTGATGTACATAAAATTCTACGATTTTTGCTACAGGACACATGCAGAGTAAGAAATCACCCCCTACGGGGATGGCCATGTCACACAATCCCTTCTCCATTCCCCTCTTGTGATCTTGAGCACATGCTTAATTTATTTTTAAGATTTTATTTGGGATAACAGGTGGTATGGTGGTTAAGGGCGCTTGACTCCCACAGCCAACCATGGTTCAAGTCCTGGACCTGGTGACTTGCTTTCACACACACCTATCTGTCCCTCTCTGGTCAAAAATAAATGAATATAAAGTTAAATAATTTTTTTTTTTTTTACATTTGACCAGTGGGGAGTGGTGAGAAAGCAAGCCACTAAGCTTTAAGATTCAAACTGCTGTTGACTATGTGAAGAGTCCAGTGCCCTTAACGACACCACCTGCCATTCTCTTGAGTTTGACACCAGGTCCGGAACTCAACACGTGAGTCTAGTGATATAATCATTATACCACCTGCTAGCCCAATTTTAACATTCTTACTACATGTGGAGAAAAAATTTTCTCCTTCTCTGCCCTTTTCTAAGTTTTGCCTTAGAGTGAATGTGCTTGCTAGAGACAGTGAGAAGGAAAGTAAAATCACCCACCAGGGAGGATGGCCACACCACAGTCCTTTCTCCATTCTCCTCCCAGAACCTTGGGCACTGTTGACAAATATAAACCCTTCTAGTTGAACTAGTTTGAGCAACAACTCAGCAGAAAAAAGGAATGGCCTTTTGGATTTTGAATTTAGACTTATGTTTTAGTTCCTTTATAAAAATTCCTTCTGTTGTCTCAAGGGAGTTAAGGATTCTTTTATTTCTTGAGAAGGGTGCATGGGGGTGCTGCCAGCCAAGGTCACAAGTCCAACCCTGAGACTTCACATGGTACTCTACAAAGCATGGCAGCACCTTGCCTATGCCACTGTGGCTGTGATCATTCTACCAGGCACTTAATATCCACCAAGCACTAGCAAGTACCAAGTCCTCTCCCTATTTATCTCTTCCCCCCATTGTCACATTCAAGTTCCACCTGCTACCCAGTTTATATCAATAACCTGACTGGGGGACCAGCAGTGAGCATAATGGCTATGTTGCTGGACTCCCACGTAGTCGACTGCAGTTTGAGTCCCGGACCCGGTGGCTTAAACTGACGCCAGGCACGTGTGCGTACGTGCCCAAGATCCCGAGAGGAGAATGGAGAAGGGATTGCGGTGTGGCCATCCCCCCTGGGGGGTGATTTCTCGCTTTCTATCTCTGTCTGTCTCTGTCTGGTGAGCGCACACGCCCTATAGCAAAAACCTCTCAAAAAAAAAAAACAACACCACCTGACTGGAATCACTCAATTTCAGAATTAAGACTTTTAGTCTTTACTATCTCTAGTTCTTGGTGGGGACCTTACCTATTGGGTTGTTTTCTCCACCTTCTAAGACCCTATGAAGCCCACTTTCTTTCTACCAACTAAGTCACACTTTACATAGTACATCTTGCCTAAGGCTCAATTAACATCCAACCCAAGTGCAGGAAGGTCAGGTAGGATGACTTTAAGGAGATTTGGTAAAGAACTTTAAGACACTGTTAAGACCTGAATTAACAGACTATATTTAGAGCGTAAGGTGTTTTATAAATACCATCAAGACTGCTTGAATCTGAAAACCCTAAGAGAACACGTGTATTATAAAACGTAACACAAGGATACAGGGCAAGCCCGTCCCCATCCTCCTCTGTCCTTGCCCTGCTACCTGCCACCTAAGTGCACCTTGGTAAGGCCCAAAAGGCTCAGGGCAGCCAGACTATTGGCCATCTTTCTCCTCTGGGCCCAAACACCCATGAGTCTATGAGGTAAGACTATTTAGTGTGTATATACATTCTAGGTCAAACCTCAAGTTGGCTTATAATTATGTTTCTCTAAACACTTTTCTTTGGAAAACAAGCCCTGTTGGAGAGTTCCTCCCTCAAGCTGCTTCAGCTTAACCTATTTCTAAAGGACTAAGACTAACACATGCAGAATTGGTAACTTCAGGGTATGGGAAGTTAAAAAGTAGATCTCAGGAGATGAAACTGAAAAGCATTTTAACAAATAATTCTTTCAAACATCAAGGTATCTCAGAACACTTCAACAACAAAAGATTTGGTCTACTAAGAAATCTGGCTTGGACAGCTAAACACTTCTTTAGACCACAAAGTTAACATTAGGCTACATACATCTTACAACAAACATTACCTTGATCTGTTAAAACAGGCTGATGTGAAACTAGAAAAACATTACTAGCTCTGCTTTAGTGCCTAAAGTATCACAGTATCACACTTACAAGTAAAAAGAAATCTTAGCTTCCCCTTATGTAGTTACTGTCATGCCTTACAGATGTTTAAAGTATTAACCAAAAATAAAGAAAAACAATTCTTGAAAATATATATATTATCAGAGGGAATGAAGATTAAGTATTGAACACATATGTAAGTCACTCTTCAGGCAGAGCTTAATCGACTTCTTCCATGCGTGACGTGTCATCATCTCCTTCAAGGGGTGGCATTTCTTCAGTCACAGCAGCACTGGTATCATCAGCAGTAGGGTCATCTTCATCAATACCTTTTTCAGAAACAAAATCCTCATGTTAAAAAATTATATAAAGCCAACAAATTAGCCTAATACTGCCAATTTATACCCAGTTTCAAAACTGAGCATTAGAGTACACAAATTTAAATTTAGTTTTTAAGCACGTGAACTGATAAAAAGACTCCACTTATCTCATAAAAACGTGACTTTCATTTTTCCCAATAGGGACAAGGTAACCCAATTTTGCTTGACTGTTAAAAGTGAATCACCCATTTCAGCAGTCACACTGTGTCTTCCATACATGACAAGGCAATACCAAATAAGGCTTACCCAGACCAAGTTTGATCATCCTGTAGATTCTGTTAGCATGTGTCTGGGGATCTTCCAGACTAAACCCAGAAGACAGGAGTGCGGTTTCATAAAGCAAGATGACCAAATCCTTCACAGACTTGTCATTCTTGTCAGCCTCTGCCTTTTGCCTTAAGGTCTCAATGATGGAATGATCAGGATTGATCTCCAGGTGCTTCTTGGCAGCCATGTAACCCATTGTGGAGTTGTCTCTTAAGGCTTGTGCTTTCATGATTCTCTCCATGTTTGCTGTCCAGCCGTATGTGCTTGTGACGATGCAGCATGGGGACGTTACCAACCGGTTTGAGACAACTACCTGAAATCAAAAGCACTGAGCAATGACTAAGCCTAGGAAGATTTTATAACCACTCAACTTTTCACTGAAAAAATGTAATCTAAAGGCTGACTCCATGGCCTGACAGGTAAAGAAACCAGGATCCCACATGGCTGACTCCAGAGTTTGGACCTTGGTCCTAGTGGATTGGGAAACATGCTAGGCATGTATGTGCACATGCTCAACACCCAAGGGAGCACCAGGAGAGAAAGCAATGGGAGAAGGGATTGCAACATGACCATTTCTGTGGGTGGGAAAGGAGATGTGCCCCCTTTCTCTCACCCTCTGTCAAAAATAAAGAAAAATGTAAGCTAAAGAGCCCAAGTATTGATGGATCAGAATTAACTATCTGAAGTTCAGGTGTCTGAAGAGCTACAACCATCACTAAACTGTACAACCTAAAAACCCAGTCTGCCTGTGAGAAACTTACAAGAGGCTATGTGCGACTAAGTCCTTTAAACACCTGAAAGATGTCAGCTAGGGAAATAAAGGTAAAAAAAATATATATATATACCTTCTCCACTTTTTTCTCCAAGATATCTTTCATGATTTTGCAAAGATTTTCAAACTTTGTTTTTTTCTCTTCCTGTTTCTTTTTCTCTTCTTCATCTTCTGGAAGTTCTAGACCCTCTTTGGTGACTGACACTAAAGTCTTCCCCTCAAATTCCTTCAGCTGTTGGACACAGTACTCATCGATAGGCTCAATCATATAGATCACTTCTAAGCCGTGCTTCCGAAGACGTTCTACGAAGGCCGAATTAGCTACCTGGTCCTTGGTCTCACCTGAGATTCAATGCAATGAAGTTACTTTCAGGCCTTTAGTTAAGTGCTTTGCCTGTTTTTGACTTCTGATAGTATTATTCAGGTATTTAAACATAACCTAAGCACACAGATATAACCCATTTTCATCTACCTTGCCTAAATCAACACCAATTACACTAATTTATACATAGTACCACTGGAGTAAAACATATGCCATAAGAGGTAATATGAACAATTATAATCTTAACAGTCCATTACCTGTGATATAATAGATATGCTTCTGGTTTTCCTTCATTCTGGTGCAATAATCCTTCAGGGATACCATCTCATCACCAGAAGCAGATGTGTAATACCTTAACAACTCTGAAAGTTTCTTACGATTTTGAGAGTCTTCATGAATTCCAAGCTGAAATACAACATCAGTTTTAGAAAAATCTTTTCTGTAATTGACACTAAATAATCTACAGTAAAGGTAGTGAGAAAACTGATAATGAGCAAATGTGTCTACACTAACCTTTATATTTTTAGAGAACTGCTCATAGAACTTTTTGTAGTTCTCTTTATCTTCTGCCAGTTCAGTGAAAAGTTCTAAGCATTTTTTGACCAAATTCTTTCTGATAACTTTCAGAATTTTACTTTGCTGCAACATCTCACGGGAAATATTTAGAGGGAGATCCTCAGAGAGTCCACTACTCCTCTAAGGAAATCTGAGGGGAAAAAAAGGTACTCAAATCATTCTGATAAAACTAGCCATATGTAAATCCATAAAAGCAAAGACTGTAGGCAATAGAATGAGTGTCTTCAGCCAGTGACAAGGAACACTTCACTTCTCCATTAACACTTACTCAGATATTCAGGGATCAGCTCTTCACAATTGTCCATGATGAATACTCTGCGTACATACAACTTAATGTTGTTCTTTTTCTTCCTGTTTTCAAACAAGTCAAAAGGAGCACGTCTTGGAACGAAAAGAAGAGCTCTGAATTCCAGCTGTCCTTCAACTGAAAAGTGCTGTAATAAAACACTTAGTTAAGTGCCAACAGAATACAGGCAACTCCCAGTGAAAGTTATCTAAGTCAACAGATAAACACTTCCACTAACATAACAAAACACTGGGAGGGAAGAGGAATAGAAAAGAACTATGGACAGGACCAGGCCTCAAACTTAAGACCTACAAACTGCAGAGGTCAACTACCTTCCAAGCATTCTGCAGAAACACTCACCTTCACTGCCAAGTGATCTTCCCAATCATTGGTCAAGCTCTTGTAGAATTCTCCATACTCTTCATTGGTAATATCATCAGGATTCCTGGTCCAAATAGGTTTGGTTTTGTTGAGTTCTTCTTGATCAATGTACTTTTCTTTAATCTTCTTCTTCTTCTTCTTGTCACCATCTTTCTTTTCTTCTTCTTCTTCATCAGAACCAACATCTTCTATTTCAGGTTTGTCATCAGATTCCTTTTCTTCTTTTTCTTTCTCCTCCTCTTTTTCTTCCTTTTCTTCAGCTTCATCATCACTGACTTCTTTATCACGCTCCTTCTCCACCTTCAGAAGATATAGAGTCACATCACTTTTACATACTAGAACTAAAAGATAAACTGAAAGGAGTAGCACACTTAGCTTACATTAGTAAACCATAGTGAAAAGCATTAAGTAACCAATTAACTTGTCAATTTCATTTATCTACTAAAGAGCCCTAAGTACTTTTTTTGGAGGGGGGGACAGGTTTTTGCTATAGGACACATGTGCTCACCAGAAATAAGAGTAATAAAGTGAGAAATCACCCCCCCCAGGGGTGGGGGTGGGGATGACCACACCACAAATCCCTTCTCCTTTCTGGATTTTGGGCATGCACGCACACATACCCGGTGTGAGTTTAAGCCACCAGGTCCAGGATTCTAACCGCAGTTGACTACATGATAAGTCCAGAGACACAGCCACTGCACCATCTGCTGGTCCCAAGCCTTAAGTACTTATAAAAAGTACACATAACTTGGGTCAGCAGGTGGTGTGGTGGTTGAGGTACTGGACTCCCACATTGCCAACCACACTTTAAGCCCCAGACCTGGTAGCTTTTTTCACTTTCCCTCTCTCTCTGGTCAAATTAAATAATAAATTTTAAAAACAGGAAAAACATTACTAGGAAAAAAAGTAAACAGAACTCTGCTTTCAGGTTTCAGACTAGCCCAGCAATTATCTTAAGTTTGGACACTTTCCTTTACTACAGATCAAGTAAACCATACTTCCTGCCTTTATGAGTTCAATCTGCATGAAAACTTACAAAAAGAGTAATGGGATAGCCAATAAACTGAGAATGTTTCTTCACAATCTCCTTTATTCTTCTTTCCTCTAAGTACTCAGTCTGGTCTTCTTTCAGATGCAGGATAACCTTTGTCCCACGACCCATGGGTTCACCTGAAGGAAATACAGGGGAATTGACCTCAATTTTAATCACAATGCCCAAAAGGTAGAATACCACCTAGCTCCCACTACCTAACACCACTTTGAACAAGTCCATGAAGTGGGGGAAGTGGGGTCTACCACTGGGCAGGTTGTAAGCCCCCCACAGCAGCATCCTGCACAAGTAAATAACCACAGTTAAGCCATTACACTAAACACTATCTGTAGCCTGCTCCAGAATATGCAGAATGAAAAACAGTTTACAATTTTTTTCCAGAAGTCTAAGGCTTGCAGCACCCCACCCTCCATGACTTCCTAGATCAGTTAAGTATTTCTCTGAAGTGCATACCTGTGTCAGTCCTAACTGTGAAGGAGCCCCCTGCAGAGGACTCCCAGGCGTACTGCTCATCATCATTATGTTTGGTGATCACAGTCACTTTCTCAGCAACCAGATAGGCAGAATAGAAACCAACACCAAACTGGCCAATCATAGAGATATCAGCCTGCAAAGCTTCCATGAAAGCTTTGGTCCCCGACTTGGCGATAGTGCAAAGATTATTAATCAAGTCGGCCTTGGTCATTCCAATCCCAGTATCCACTATAGTGAGGGTTCGATCTTGTTTGTTTGGAATGAGATTAATGTGCAGCTCCTTCCCAGAATCTAGTTTACTGGGATCTGTCAAGCTTTCATATCTGATTTTGTCCAGCGCCTGTTGTCAGAAAAACACAGATCGTCAAGTGCACAGCCCGAAGTGAAATTCAAACAAACCAAAACCACTTCTCACTCCTAGGAGACTTACATCAGATGAATTCGAAATAAGCTCCCTCAGGAAGATCTCTTTGTTGGAGTAGAAAGTGTTGATGATCAATGACATCAACTGGGCAATTTCTGCCTGGAAGGCAAACGTCTCGACCTCCTCCTCCTCCATGGGCTGGTCTTGGGTCTGGGTCTCCTCAGGCATCTAGGACGGACACGGAGCCCTTACACGCTGCGGCACGGACACCCCCGCGGTTGGCGGACACGGACATAAAAACCACCGTCAACGAGCTGCGCGACGCGAGCGAGCCTCAGGCGGGAGGCCGGCTGACAAAGGAATGACCTCATTCCGAGCGGCGCTCACGGGGAGCGTGCGCGCTTCCCTCGGGCCTCCCGACCCGAGCGCCGGCCCCGCGCAGCGCC